CACCCCTGACTCGTAGAGCTGAAACCGTCTGCCAGGGCTGAAAATCCTACTTACCGTTGTAAAATGATAATCTACAATATGGTATATGTAGTAATGCAATCATCTATATATATATATACATACATATACACATTTATATATAGAATAGATTATATATTCCGTTAACCAACACCTGGCTTTCATGACGTAGCACTTGAGATATCGTGTAGGGTTTAAGGCTTTGCGTTTAGTAGTGGCTGAGGGCTTTGCGATGTAACCGTTAAGGATTTCGGGTTTGGGGTGATTGAGGTGGTCGAGCTCAAAACTTTAACTCGAATCAGCCTGTCCGTCGCTGGAGCATCCGACCGGTAGCGTTCCATACGCAGGAGACCCCATGCACTGATGTGTCGGGCAGGTAGTTGTTTCCCTGGGTATTCTTAGCATATTTATGGAACTGATCCAACCATTAAGTCATACATGTACAGTGTATTTTGTAATACTGAATTAGTTTAGTTAGTGACTGGCCAGAGCTGTATCTTAAGTTATGTTAACAGTGTATGTATATATGTGTATGTATATGATATGATTATATACATATGTGTGTATGTATGTATGTATGTCTGTCTGTCTGTCTGCCTGCCTGTCTGTCTGTCTGTCTGTCTGTCTGTCTGTAATGCATGTATGTATGTATGTATGTATGTATGTATGTATGTATGTATATATGTATGTATGTATGTATGTATGTATGTATGTATGTATGTATATGTATGTACATATACCTACCAATCCATACCTACATGTCTAGACGTGGTTCTTGTTTTGTCATGTGGCTCTGTCTCTCTCTCTCTCTATGTATGTGTATGTATGTATGTATGTATGTATGTATGCATGCATGTATGTATGTATGTATGTATGTATATATACATATACACACATGCATGCTTATATATATATATACATACCGTACATACATGCATACATACATTCATCCATCCATGCATTCATTCATTCATTTATTCATTCATTCATTCATTCATTCATTCATCATTGCTTTTGGCATCACACACATAGATACATAGACAGATTGGTGGAGAGGTAGGTGTATTGATTCAGATGAATAAACAAATACATAAATACATAGAATTACATATATATATATATAATATAAATATACAAATAAATATGTATATATGTATGTATATATATATATAGGTAGATGGGTATGCATAAACATCGCCTGATTGTACCAGCCCCCAACAAGCTCACTAGGGCTGTTTGAGAGATCTCAGTATTCCGATATGCTGGCTCGCAGGCTTCAAGGTTCAGGCTTTCAGGTTCAGGGTTTAAGGGTTGAGGGTGCCGGGGTTCAGCGTAGATGATTTCCGCACAATGCAAGGGGCTAAGGCTAAAGCCTTATACGAGCTTATGGGGATCTATGGCTTAGAGTTTCCGAGTTTCTTGGGTTCAAAGATCACAGCCCTGAGCCGCACACGGCTCCCAAGCATCTGCGCAGCACAGAATCTGAAATTGCTTACTGCGTAGGGGTCTAGCGAAAAGCTGCTCTTATAGGAACCCGAAATCCCCAAAACCCCAATAAGCCCTAAACCCAAAAACCCCGAGGTCCTAACTCTCTTCTGGGTCTGTGCCCCAGCCTTGAAGTTTCACGTGTTGGATGAAGAAACCTCTCTTGTGTGCAGCGGGCAGACGCGAGCATCCAAAATGTGCACATGGGTAGTTCTCTAAAATTATGGTTTAGGTGCATGTAAAGGATTTCTTAAAGGGATCTATAAGGGCTTTTATAGAGTTTATATAATGGGTACTATATGGGTACTTCTCTAAAATTAGGGTCCCCTTTGGATCTTCCCGAAATAGTACGACACCCGTCTAAACAAGGATCCTAACAGGGACCCTAAACCCTAAACCCTAAACCGAACAGGGAGCTGATTTAGTGAACTACCCATATATGCTGGGCTTTCGAAACCCCTAAGCTTGATCCCGCACCACCCGGGCAACCTGAGACCGTAAGGAGCCTACTTTTTTTAAGGAAACATATAAGGAAATCATATATAGGGTTTAGGGTTTAAGGGAACCTACTTTTTTAAGGAAACATATAAGGAAGTCATATTAAGGATAACTACAAAAACCAGGTTCTTTAGGGTCCAGGTAGGTTCTAAGCCGATCTCAGCTCTCTGCACCACGGAGCTCGGGACCCCGACCGGACGTCCTAAAGTCAAAGGGGTTTAGAGTTTCTAGATTTTAAGGCTTTCAGTTACCCTAAGCCCTAAACCATTCAACCGTAAGGTTGATTCGATTCTGAATGCCTTAAGTGGGGTGAGGAGCGGCAACGCTTCACCACAACCACCACCACCACCCCTGTCATCACCACTACCACGACGACGACGACTTCGGGGACTGCTGCCGCTGCAGCGGCTCCTCCTCCTCCTACTGCTACTCCTACTACTACTCCTACTCCT